CAGACACAGACACACACACACACACACTTCTCCGCCTCATTCTGTTTTCATTTACTCGTTCGTTATCTGACCAGCTTCAATCTTGTAGGCTACTCACTTCGTTTCTTGTAGCCCTCGAAAGGGTTTTGGAGGTTGATGCCTCGCTGAACGTGAGTTGTTTGGCTTTCTTGTCCGCAGCAGCAGAAAGCATTTTCGAATGTTTGAATGAATCAAAGTGGGTCGTCACCGTCGACTTTCTCTTATGCTCCAACACACAGTTGCACGGGGTGCAGAATAGTTTCCCCCCACTTTCGTGAAAGACATCGGGGAACTGCTTTGCCCGGTCTTTAGCAGAAATGTTGGTCGTGTGAGTTCCACACGTTCACTCTACGGTGTTGTTTACCTTCTGTGATGCGCGAGCTGATGATGTCATCATCATCATCACTACTTCACGTCAAAACGAGTTAACTTTTTTTTTTCTCAACTTTGTGGTAAAATGCGGGGATTATGCCTTTTGATAAATCTGCGCCATTTTGCTGATTATGCGGTAAATTCTGCGCAGAATCGCGTTTTTTGGAGGGTCTTATACGCATGGTTTTATTGTCTCGTGTTTTTACATGAGTTTCTCTGGAGGGTCTATATGACGGCTTTCTAACAGAAGTTAACTCAACCCAATAAAGTGAAGTCACGTTGGAACAGCAGTCACTCCTCTCTCTCCTTCACATTCATATTGTCGGATTTTTTGAGTGTTCTTTTTGTGCTTTGCCGAACGCCGCTGTGTCAAATGTCCCATTAGAGTTGCCGTATGGAGTTGCGAAATATGGTGGACCATCCCCCACACGTGCACTGCAGGTCGGGCAGTGACGCACATTCCTCACACATGTTGTGTTCAAGGGGTGTCGGAAAGTAGACACTCATAACATGTTGAGTTTGTACAGTCTCGGGTTTGGATGAAAAGGTGATTTAAGAGTTTGTTTGTTTCCTTCTGTCAGAGTTAAAGAAAGTCCACATCGAGGTGAAGGAGGACGCCTCCGCTGCTCCTCAGCCTGAAGGCAGCGAGGAAGACGAGGAGGAAGACGAGGAGGACGATGAGGAGGAAGACGAGGAGGAAGACGAGAGCGAGGAGGAGGCGGAGAAAAAGGAGGCCACGCCCACAGCGCCTGCTCCTCATCTTCATCACGGGAAGAAGAGGAAGGAGAGCGAGAGCAGCAGCAGCGACGATGATGATGGGAGGACGAAGGAGGAGCTACTCTACGACAGAGCGAAGAGGAGGATAGAGGTGAGGAAGAGGAGGAGGATAGTGATGAAGAGGAGGATGAAGAGGATGTCTCTGACTCTCCGGTTTATTACAGAAACGTCGAGCGGAGAACATAAAGAACATCGACCTGGAGCGCCTCAGGTCTCCAGTGGTCTGCGTGCTGGGACACGTGGACACGGGCAAGACCAAGATCCTGGACAAGGTGTGTGCCGAGCACCCCTGCATCAACAGTGCCTCATCCTACACTGTAGTAATGTGTGTGTGTGTGTGTGTGTGTGTGTGCAGCTGCGTCACACTAACGTTCAGGACGGAGAGGCAGGAGGCATCACTCAGCAGATCGGAGCCACCAACGTTCCCTTGGAAACCATCGAGGAGCAGACCAGGATGGTGAAGAACGTACGGAAACAACAAACTCTACAAAACCTTATTCCATTTATAATAACATCAACTTGTTACATCATGTTAGTGTGTGTGTGTGTGTGTGTGTGTGTGTGTGTGTGTAGTTTAACAAAGCAGACCTGAGGATCCCCGGCATGCTGATCATCGACACACCCGGCCACGAGTCCTTCAGGTAACACACACACACACACACACACACACACACACACACACACACACACACACACACACACACACACACACACACACACACACACACACACACACACAAACACT